TATTAAGGTTTTCAATGGTTTGTTTTTTAAGGCCTATGATACAATGGTGAGACGTGGCTTCTACGGGAAAGAAGATTAAGAGGGCTTGAAGTGCAAATTTATGCACTCTTATATATAAGTCACAGCGGATCATAAGGAAATTAAACAGAGAATTTTGAGGGGTACTTTCATATATTTACTTATCCTAATTTATTTATCGGAGAAAAAGTTCTTTTTTACTCACTTTTCATACCATAGAGGTGTGATTTGAACATGAATGATATTTTTGTATATTTACCTATCCCAATTTATTTACAATTTTTTTTTTATTTGATCACTTTTTATACTATAAGAGTGGGATTTGAACATGGTGTTATTAAAGAGGTTTTTTTAAGTATGACAAATTAATTTACAATTTTATATTTAATAACTAAATTAAATTTTTTTTTTTAATCTCTAGGCAAACAAATTTTTTTTTTTTTGAGAAAATTTGACAAATTAATTTACAATTTTATATTTAATAACTAAAATTCAATAAGTAGTCTTCAAAATTGGGAATTATGCTGTTTGCATGTTAAATTCTACCATCAAAAAGCCATCACTAGGCCGACAATGCAAGACCAATAAACTCGCTAAGGCCCTGTTTGTAGGGAACAAACTCGTTAACTGAAAGGCCCATTGGTATTTACCATTCTATATCAAAAGGTTTATAGCCCATATAAGTATAAGTTTGGCCCAACTCAAATAATTTCATTAACAAGCCCAAAAAGGAGTTGATAATTCGTATATACCCAGAGATTGGATTAAAAGTTCTTACAGAGGGGTCACTCATCAGTACATCGGAATGCAAGGAACGCCAAATGCATGATTTGATAGAAGAAATGGGCCGAGAAATTGTTCGGTAGGAATCTCAATAAGAACTTGTTCGGTAGCATTTACCGTATATTAGTTGTTCGTGTAGCTCTTGCCAATGGTATGAAATGGGAAGATCGATCTAGCTTGAATGGTGAAAGAGGAGAAGAATAGAGTAGCCGAGAGAAATTTCTTGATGCCAATAAAATGAAGTTACGGACACGTATATCCAGTGTTGGATATGTATAGTATGAATTGCCATGCAGAAAAAATTATGTTACACTCAATGGCTAACTTAGTGTGGGCTAACCTGGGCTATAGCCCAGGTCCAAAAAAATAAAAAAATTTAGTACTACTACTTCCTATCAATCATAGTCCAACCCAATAAGTCATAGCCCAGCCTATGCCCAATCCATAATAAAACAAAAATAACAAATAGCCCACAGCAATGAGCAACTTTCTGAACAAAAAAAGCAGCAAATCTCAGTTATCTTAAGGTTTTAATAAATAAAAAAAACTAATTAGCGAGAAGGTGCAAAGGGTAAATAGTAATTTTAAAATTCTACCCCACGATTTTTGTTAGCCATACGAGCATTGTGGACGAATATTTACGGTCGTATTTATTTACCTGAGATTAGTTTTCTCGCTAAACCCAGAGCAGCCCCAGAGGACAACGCAGAGAAGTTGCAGACGAGACTCGGAGGTGAGATTTCGAACCCTAAGTTTATGATCAAATACATTGTTGTTTGTAGTAAACAATTCATTAAATGATGTTTTGAAATCAAAATTTTCCATCTCAGTGATTTATTGAGACCAGTTGATCGTCTTTGAATCCGGATTTGAAGGTAACATCTAATACCCTATGCTACATTTTCATTTTCATTTTCATTTTCATTTTCATGTCTACTGCTGGAGTTTAGAGGTTTATATATTTAGTTTGCAAAACAAGAATTACAGACCTTGATAGTTGATTTATAGAAAAAAATTAAAACAAAACCCATACATACAAGTTAGGAGTTGCAGAGAGGAAGGGGGGCAAGCTTGAGAGTTGAGAGACAGCGGCTGAAGCTTGCGAACGGCGAACCCGAACTAGAACAGCGAGCGATGGAAACTGAAAGATATGGGTTTTGATTTTTTGAACAATCTGAAATGATATGCCCATATGGGTTTTGAACTGTTGATTCTTGCAGACAGATAGATAAACTGAAATATATCTAGGGTTTTGAACTTCTGATTCTTGTATATATAAGTGTTACGAACAGAGATTATATATTACCATATTTGTAGAGTAATATGATAGGAGCCTGTTCATGATGCGCTTTGTCACATTATTTACTACATTAGTTATTATATTCCTATTTGTATAGAGTACCGCATCTAATTGCCTGGTTTCCTCATTAGAAAATAATTAGAATTGAAATGCATGATATAATCAAATAAGTATAGGTAATTTACGAAATTCAATGTACTTTGTGTGTGTTTTTTGCATCGAAAGTCAGTATACTGAAGTCTTGTGAGTTGGTAAACGGAACGAATCGTTTGCTTTATCGAACAAAGCTCTACACATCTAATCAATTTTTACGATATAATGACATTAAAATCCTAATGAGTATATTCTTCAGAGCTGCAGGCTAAGTGAGGTTGGCGCCTAGGACATTCATGTGAATTTGTTTGAGTGGATTGGTTGGGCCAGACTGGTATTTTGAAAATGTTTACTTATTTATTTATATATATATATATATATATATATAGATATAATTTGAATTTGTTGTCCTAATATGTCTATTCTAACTTTGGAATTTTAATTTTAATTTCCATGGGCTTGTGTTGAATTATGTGCTTGGACAACATAATATGCATCGGACAGGGCATGATTATAAGCATGTGGTACTGAAGGTGGGAGGTTGGTGGGGGCTGTGGTGTTGGCAGTGGTGGCTGGGAGGTTGGTGGGGGCTGTGGAAGGGACATGAGGATGGGATATAACACCCATTGTCCTGCTATATAATATAATACATTAGAGTAACGAATCCTGAACTGTTTTTTCTATTTTCAGCATGGCTGAATTGAATGGGGTCATTACTTCTTGGACCGCGTTTCGTAACAGGAAGAGGTTACTAAAATCTCTTGCTCAGCAGAAAGACCGGAGGGACGAGTATGAAGCACTGAAGTTGGAGCATGCAGCTTTAAAGGCTGATATGATCAATGAAATGCGACCTCCGTCAGCCCATAGGTGTTTTGTGGTGGCAACAATGGTTGAGGTGGATATCTTAACCTTCTTTAAGAAGAGGCTAGCGTGGTCACGTGGTGGTGTTAAGCTTGTTCCAGGTATCAAATCTTCACTCAAGGAAGCCATGGTGAAAAAGCTTTGGGACCTGAGAATTTTTATTAAAAAGTAGTATCTGGGGTGGTTTGGTGTGGTACACGGGGGTTTATTTGGGATGCGTAGTCTTTGGATCTCACTTTGTTTTGGTCTATTTGGTATGAAATGGGAGTAATTGGGAGAATGGTTTAGTATAGCTTGATAACTACTGGTATGTAATAATTTGCTTGGAAATGACGACTTGGACATACAACAGCAAGGATCAGTGGAGTCTCAACAACACTTAGAGATTTGACATCAGTGATGGATATATATATAATTTGTAACAAGTTCCAACAAAACCAAACATCTTTACCAATTTTATAGTCCAGAAATCAACAAAATCCACACAGATACAAAGGAATAATGAAAAAAATGCAAACAAATAAATAAATATGCATATATACATGCAGAAATATAAATATATACATATACACGTGCAATATATAGAAAGAGAGAGACACAGAGAGAATGAGAGAATCTACCTCCATCCTGAGGAACCGTGAGTTTCCCGTGAAGAGTTTAGGGTTTTGAAGACTGCATGAAGAGAATTTGGCCGAGAAGGCGGCGAGAGGTGGTGGTGGAAGAGGGAGACGACGTGGAGAGTGAAGTTTAACAAGTGGGGCTTTAAAGGCGCACAATAGCGGCAACCATACGCTATTACTGAGGTCCGCATTTTCTCTCTCGCAATTCAATATGGTATGATATTTTAATCGATCGAGTCGGTTAAAAGTCCCCCGTCAATTCAAGTTGGTTTTAATTTTTATGAATTCATTAAAATCAATCAATCCGATTCGTGCGCACCCCTAGTACCTACCAACAAAATATTGCTACTGAGAAGTAAATGATGCATGTTAAATTTATTTCATGTAGAAGTAAATACAAAAATTCAGGTATAAATAAGAGTGAAAAAATTCCCTAGATTCTATAAGAAGGTGGGTAGGGTTTTTCATGCCCTACCCGACACGATAGCCTAAAATTCTAAACTAGACATAACAAGATTTACTATTCACAGGAGGAGAACACCAATGATGGTTACTGTGACGGGTCGGGTGTAGCTTTGTGATCTAACCTAAAAATGTAAGCTATTATTAGGTGGGACTAACACCCAATTCATTTATATCCATTTCACTTCTCATCCCGATCCGATGTAGGACAAGACTTCCCTTGTACCAGTTACCCCTTACCAATTACTTTACCCTTTGCTCTTATTTATTTATTTATTAAATACTTTATCAAAAGTACATTTAGGCTCCATTTGTTCCGACATAAAATATTTTCCTCGGAAAATACTTTTCTTATGAGGTAAAATTTATATTTTTTATTTTATTTGTCCGTATTTGGCAAAGGTCTAGATCTAGTCTATTGGGTTGGGCATGTAAAATAACTTGCCGAAAGTTTGATGTGTAAGTTATTTTTGTTAAGTTTTAATAAAATATTTTACATAAATTTTTGACAACCAAACACCAATGTTGTCTTATGCTCCGAATTACTGGAAATGATTGATGTGCAAGGCATTGTAAATATATATACATTGTTGAACAATCAGAAGAATAAAGCACGCTAAACACTTAATGGAACAACCACCATAGGCGAAATCGAACACGTTATACATAAGAAAACACTGCATTAGAAATGAATTCAAACTGTTCTGAAAAACAAGAAGACTAAATCTACCCAAATAAGGTCAGAAACCTCAAGAGGTCTTGCTCTGGGAGGAGTTCTTGAACAATCATGAAAATAAAGCAATTTAAGAACGTACCATGTAAAACTCAAAAAGCACGGGAACAACATAATGATAAATATTCATTTAGAAAATACTTGAACAATCAGAAAAAAATTTCCTCTTACTGGTAATATTGTAATTTTGTAATAGCTAAAAAGAAGCAATTACGAAAGCAACTCCAGAAGAAGACCAAATTAATCAAAATTCAATTACGAAAGCAATAAACCTCACAGTTTAGAAATGCATGTTGTAAAGTAAAACTTGTTACCTCCAACACAAATTTAGACAAGAAAGGGCATGCCTCTATCAGGAAAGTAAAACCCACAAGGCTTTGTTCATCTCTTGCATTAATAATCAACTCCAGTCGCTTGAGTTTATTAAATACGGAAAATTTAGTATCTTCAAGATAAATCTGAATAAATCAAAGAAAATGTAAATCAGATTGATAATTATGTTAAAAATAAATAAACAATAAAATAAAAATGAAGGGGAGGAGATTAAATGAATCAGTTAAAACTTCCTAACCTTCCTCATGGAGGTCAGATGCAGCGTACGGCTGTCTAGCTTAGAAAGATAGCTTGAAATATCCAAAAACTTATATATTAGATAAAAGCAATATTCACCCCCGATATGCAAATCCACATGTGACTGGACATTCTTAAAAGGCATGCTTATTTTTGGTCTGAAGTACTTAAATAACACGAGATTCGTTGCAGAAATCTCAATACTTTCCACATAGAAGCAGAAAGTTATTTCCAAATGCTTCAATTTGAGTGCTAGATCAGGAACTTTCAGATTTACGAGGGCGTCAGATTCTTTCACAGGCAATTGTTCCAGATTTGGAAAGTTAGTTAAGGAGTACTCGAGAACTTGTCCAGTTACATTGACGTATGTCAACAGGAGATTGGTCAGGGAGTTGCAGTTAGTAAACCCAAGAGATAATGAATGCAAGTGATTTGTAATACCATCAGGGTCAGGAAAATTGTAATTCTCTTCCTTTCTACTATAATCGGTTAATTCTGCCAAGTCTAACTCAAGCCTTTTAACTCTCTTTTCCATTGCAAAGTTAACCCAATTGTCAATATCAAGTCTATAACTTTTCCCAAAATCAATTGAACGCTGAAGTCATCTATAGTTGGAGCGTTGTAGGATTTCAAGACTTGATTAACCCAACTCATATACAATGGCCTTTCTACTTCGACTTCCTTTTGTTGCAGTTCGATTCCTTCGATTATATGTGAGGAATCAAAGTTCAAATGAGTAATGTGTGTCCACATGTACCTCCATCTCTTTGATAGGAGATTAGTTCTTCCTGCTTCTTTCATTGTCAATAGTGACAATATTGAAACAAGTACAACATCAGGAAGTTCACTAATGCAATCCTCCAAACACAACCCTACTTTATTGACCTTCTCACTATTGCAATTAAAGATAAAAAATAATAATAATAATAATCAAGAAAGTGTAATAATAGAAACACCACATTACTGCCGAAGATATATAATAAATCCACACATAAGTAAAAAGATAGTAGGTGGGTCCAGTGGTTTTCTCCATGGAAATTGATTTTACAATTTTTTTTTTTGTATAATTTAAAAAAATAAGTCTGCAGATCCAAGAGATAACAAGAGGAGGAGAAGAACAGATTAGAGATAAAATAAAAAAAATAAATAAATAAAAAAAAAACAAGAGAGAAAAAGAGACCAATTTTGTGTATAAACAACAATTTTATATAGAGATGAGGGTTGAATTGGGTCTATACCAACTTGAAAAGTAGTAACAATACGTTTCTTACTAGGATTAGGCAACTTGATACTGCTTTAACCTTTAAAAAAAAAATTAAAAAAAAAAAAAAAAACAGAAGCTGGGCACCGGATTGGTGCATACTTTTTCTTCTTTTCAGAGTGTTAGAAGGTACAAAAACTCAATCTTGGCAAGTTTCAAAACTATTATTATGACTTGGTTCAATTAATAACAATAATTAATAAATAAATAATAACAAAGAAAATTCTTTTCAAAAAATTATAAAAGAAAACTGATTATAAAAATAAATAAAAGAAATCCGATCAGAATAGATCACAAAATTTGATCTTTGTCCCTGACAAGAGCAAAATAGAACATTTACAGAAGAGATTTTCATTTTTCATAATGAAATCAAAACTTACATATCTTGTAAGTGTTGCGCCTTCAGATCCTTGAGAGAGAGAGGGGGGGAGTTGGGAGTTGGGAGTTGGGAGTTGTATCGCAATCGGACAGCGGCTCTGCACGGGAACATTGTGGTGGAACTGAACACGCCGCTGTAATGCTTCTATTTCTAGGGTTGAGTATCATGTCTTTACTTTAGCAAACCAACGGTTGAGATGCTTTACCATCTAATTTCAACGATTGAGATGCAAATATTTTCTTTGTAAAATATTTTTTTAACAAATTTTTTTTTTATGTAAAATGTTTTCTTTATTTATTTATTTTTTTATGTAAAATGTTTCCTTTCTAAAATATTTTCTAAACAAAATTTAATTTTATGTAAAATGTTTTTTTTTTTTTTTTTGTTTTTTTATGTAAAATGTTTTTTTTGTCAGATATTTTTTAAATAAATTTTTTTTTATATATAAAATATTTTTTTATTTTTTATTTTTTCTTGTTTGGTAATGGGTCACAAAATTTTTTTAAAATTAATTTTTATGCACAATTAACTTTCTCTCTTTTACTATCATACCTCTGTTGCCATACTCAGTGAGTTACCTGGCCTGGAGTGGAGGAGGTGCCATTCCTAAGTCTTCAAGATTAGTCGAAACGAAGTTTTAGATACTCCGAATAATAAATAAATAAACAACAACAACATAAAAAAAAAACACCTTGAGCTCTTGTCTTTGTTTTCAATGCCTTACCTGATTTATTGGTCTTGTATCGTGGGCCCAAAAAGAAACCCAAAAAAAATTGAAAAATGAAAAAAAAAAAAAATTTAACTGGCTTCGTTTAGTTAGATAGAATCAACCAGAAAAGAAAAGAAATAGAAAATTTTAAAACTTTTTTATAGTTTAGTTAGATGGAAAAAGAAAAGTTCTAGAAAATTAGGATTTTTGTAACCTTTTATTTTCTCCATAATGTTTTCTTCAAAAAATACAAGGAAATTTTATTTTCCCATGAAAGCATGCTTTTTTATTATTGTTCCTATTTTACCCAACAACTTCATTGATATTATTTTAACCAACAACTTCATTTTATATTTGGAAATAACAATAATATTTTACTAGGTTTCAAAGAATTGAAGTCTACTAACAACTTTATCATTGATAAATTTTTAATTAACTTGACTTCTATTCTTAGCTATTTTTTATCATATATGTTAATAGTAATTCAAAAGGTCTAAATTAATTGAAAACTTTATCATTTTTTTATATATATTTTATTACTAATTTTTTATTATTTTATAAAATAAGGGTAATATAGGTATCCAAACTATAATATGATATTTCCTACAATTTTTTTGAACAAATTTTCATACTAACCAAATATATATTAGAAAATCACTTTTCTTTTCATTCACTTCACTTTTCTTTTCATTTTTTATTTCTTTTCCTTTCTTCCTATTTCCATCTAACCAAATGGAGCCTTAAAAATGGGTAATGCTCATCTTTAATTTTTAATTTTTTTTTTAGACATACGTTCTAATTACATTAGACCATATGCTGAAACATTGTCCTACGTTCTTTTCTAGAAATTGACAATTTACTCTTATCCATGGGATAAAAGGAAAGTGAGAATTTTAAGTTATTTTTAACATTAAATTCATCATTTACTTTATTTATAGAATTTATTAAATATTTATGTTGGATAATACAATTGTTGGTTTTTGCTCTCAAATACCACTTTCTGGTTTCGCTCTGGTACCACTTTGTTGGAAATAGTGATCTAGATACACATAACACTCAATAATATTTTGGAAGAGAATGACATGGAGGAATACTTGAAAAATTATTTTATTCCACTTCTACTATTATTTGACTAGAATACATGAATATATAGGCCACATGAATATAGGTGTAACAATTACATTTAAGTGCACAATTACTCACACTAACATAACTTTTAGGCTTAACTCCCACTAACATGGTGGGAGGTTTAATTCCCACTAACATAACCATTTAGACTTGACTCTCATGACCCTTAGTTTTACATAACCTTCACCATCACACTAACTCTCATATACTAATTCTCATTAAGATAATTTACTACTTACTAACATACTAAATGCCCACATACACTATGTAAGACAAATACTAAAAATGATTAATTAAATACTAAAATCAAGTTTATTTTTCAACACCCTCCTTTAAACTTGATTTTGTAACTTGAAAAAACCTTCTTATTAATTTTGGGGGCTCGATCAAAAGTTTGTTACTTTGTCTTGAATTCCACCTCCTTCAACTGCAACAATCTTCTTGGTTATTTCCATTGATGTGTAAGGCTTGTGAAACTTCTTCAAATGCTTGAATAATTCCTTCTCATTATCGATCTTTATCTTCTTCATACAAGCACACCAATCTTCTTTCTTCTTAAAATTTCGATACTTCTTGAACTTCAAATGTGCTACTACTTTGGAATCAAAAAATAACTCCATATTCACCAAACCTGTATTAATTACAAAATTCTCCAAACCATTTTTCAAAAAATAATTTAAGAAATTATTATCATCTTGAGCTTCAATCTCATATTTTATTGAAACAACTTTCTCCAAGAAAAGTTCATCATTCTCCACAACATGAACACAATTATCATAATATTTGATTTCTTTTTTCAATTGGGATGAATATGAAGAAATCAAAATTTTATCAAATAAGTTATATCTAACTTCTTTGAAATTAGAATTTGGAACCATATCTGAAATTGTTAAGTCACCAATTTCATCAACTTTTGCCTCTTCTTTAGCACCTTCTTCTTTTTTCTTTTCTTTTTCCACTTCAATCTCCTCCACTTTTTCAATCTCTTCTTCAACACCTTTCTTTATCTCTTCCTTATTCACCATTTCACTTTGGCCTTCAACTTTTGAATTTTCAATTTCTTCAACTTCATTTGTGTTGTACGCCTCTTCATTCTCCACAAATTTGTCCTCTAAACTTTCATAATCAGTCTTCATAAACTCATCATCCTCAAAGATTGTACCCAATACTCCATGGGTAGTGATTCACTTCAATGATTGAAAATGATGGTCTCGAGCATCTTCCAAACACAACTTGGAGTTTTGAACTCTCCAAAATACTCCCAAATTTCTTGATGTATTGCTTTCTGCAACACTACCAATGCCTTTTCTTCCTTTTTTTCTCGAAGCTTGTTGGACATGCCATTCTTTGACTCTAATCCAACAACATCCCACAAATCACATGCTTCGAGGTATGAAGTCATGGTGATTCTCATTCTCCTGTAATTAGAGAACATCATATTCTCACTAAGAAAATACATTTTCTCCCTTTCATCATCATCAAGGAGAAATATGTTTTTCTTAAATGTTGAACCTTTTAGGATCAACTTCGTCAGGCCTTCAGGATCGTCTAGGCTCTGAACATGAAATCTGGCTCTGATATGGAACCTGGCTCTAATACCACTTTGTTGGCTTTTGCTCTCAAATACCACTTTCTGGTTTTGCTCTGGTACCACTTTGTTGGAAATAGTGGTCTAGATACACATAACACTCAATAATATTTTGAAAGAGAATGATATGGATGAATACTTGAAAATTTATTTTATTCCACTTCTACTATTATTTGACTATAGTACATGAATATATAGGCCACATGAACATAGGTGTAATAATTACATTTAAGTGCCCAATTACTCACACTAACATAACTTTTAGGCTTAACTCTCACTACTCCCACTAACATAGTATTTAGGAGGTTTAATTCCCACCAATATAACCATTTAGACTTTAACTCTCATGACCCTTGGTTTTACATAACCTTCACCATCACACTAACTCTCATATACTAATTCTCATTAAGATAATTTACTACCCACCCATGCTAAATGTCTACATACACTATGTAAGACAAATACTTAAA